ACATTACATTACAGTACATTACATTACATACATACATACATTACATACATACATACGTAACCTTGCCTTACCTTACCTTACCTTACCTTACATTACATTGCATATATATTAATAGATACAGACATACAGACATACAGATAAACAGACATACAAAGACACAACAAACACACACACACACAGCCACACAAACAAGCACACACACGCACACACGTGCGCAGATGCACGAACAGACACAGGCACACGCGCGCACACGCTCTTGCGCGCCCACGCACACGCGCAAGCGCACGCGCGCGCACTTGCGCACGCACACAAACTCGCGCACACGCGCACGCACGCGGACGCACTCGCGCACGCACACGTGCACACGCTCATGCACACGCTCATGCAGTGCGCGTACACGCGCACGCACATTCACATGCACACACATGCACATACAGGCACATGCCAACACGCACACACACGTACACAACACAGTTGCGCACCCGCGCACATGCGCGCAGGCGTACAAGGGTACAAGCATACACCCGCCCCGGCGCACACACACACACACACCCACACGCACACGCACACGCACACTCACTTGGAACAACCCGTTTGAGAGGTTCCTCTGAGACCTCTGCTTGTTCCCACCACCCTCCCACCCTGGGCTCCCAGCTAGCTCCGGCCTCTCTGAGGGTGCGCCGCTGCATGGGCGTGTCACTCAGGAAGCGCACCTGGCGTGAGGCACCCGAAAGATGCAAACCAAACGTACCTCTTTCCAGGGAAATCCATGGAGACCTGCAGTTTGAGGAGCTTGAACACATTGTTCTCCTATGATAGATGAAGTTGGTCATCTAGGTACCCCGAAACCAGATTCTGAGTGTTTGGGCCCTTGTACGTATTTGTCCAAGTTGGCGCAGCACAATTCTTGCGACTGACATGCTCAAAGGAGTTGAACATGATCAAAGAGTTGCCTTACGGTCAAAACCCTTGACTTACACGAATGATCAAGGAAAAGGCATCCACACCTGTTTGTTATACCGGAGGTGCCTGGTTACCAACCCAGGGCAATGGAAAGTGAAACAACCAGGTTCCCTACTTGCGTGGGTCCTTCATACATTTGGACGGGCAGTTTTAGGGTATGTGTGGAGCGAAAGAAGCTGATAGGCTTTCTTATGCGGTATTTAAGCTGCTCCTCTCAACCCAAAAAATGGTCAAGAACCACGCGACTTGAGCCAAAGGTATAAACGCCACCGGCCTGAGCACCGCAAAACAAGCCAAAACAAGGCAGCCTTTTTAGGAGACCCCACTGCCCCGTCCGGGAGGCGCGCCCGTAGAGCAGAGCCCACCGCTGGAGCCTTGCCTGCGAACAAGCTCCAAACATGGGTGATGCGGTTCGCAAAGGAAACCGGTCTCTAAAACAGTTGGTTTGCTTGTTCCAACTGAGTACCGACCAAAAAGAAGTACACCCGGTTACACGGCGGCGATCTGCGTAAAAAAACACACAAAAACAACCACATTTGTTGGGTCAAGTTCTTTGAGGAGAAAGCTGATCACATCTGGGGCCCCTGGCACTCACTGCCGTCCTGCGCGAAAAGGCAAGAACGCGCACCGCACGTGCCGCGAATGGAAAATGAACATGGCTGATTGCAGCTTGACTTCTCAATGGCATGGACCAAGCATACTTGGGTTCAACCAATCAGGGAACCTCTGCGGAATGGGTGATTCTGTTGTTTTTCGCTGAACAAAACCATCAAACGAGATCTTTCTACTGCAACATGTGCACACTTGCTAGTTTGCATCTGCAAACCCATCTGCTCGCATTTTAGCTCTCAGGCCACCTCGCGGCACAGTAGCGCAAGGAGTCCCTCCCCATCTGGTGGCGGCAAAAGCCTGGCGAGCAGCGCGCACCTCAAACCCATTGATTTTGGTTCCACATTTGCTTGGGGTCTTTCATTTGGGTGTGTTTCCCTGGTGCGTCTTGGTTGGAGAGTTACCGCGCTGCAGCGGTATTTCCTTTTGGGGACTGAAATCCTGTGGTGGCTGTAAAGCTCGACTTCCAGTGGCCACGGGGGAAACGGCCACTCGCTTTGTGCTTTGCTGATTTTGAAGGGAAACCTGGTTGGCTTGTGGCTTCATTTTCATGTAATTTTTCGTGGGCGAGCTCGATGTGCTTCAAATGCCGTTCCGTCTTCAACGCGTCAGAACCCTTGCTTCTACTCGACAAGGAAGATGACAGAAAAAACTTGACCGTCCAAGGTGGCTGCAAGCAGAACACAGGAAAGAAGGGAGCAAGAGCGGTTGAGGAGGGAACGAACACAGTTTTTGCCGAGACAGTTGTTGAAGAAGTGTGAGGACATCAGAATGTTCGCGTTGCCCACCTTGAGCTATGGTTGGATCGCGGAGAAAACGCCGGTCGAAGAGATGAGGAGAAGAGACAATGTCCTTTGGCATGTTGGACGTGGCAAGCAGCTTTTGGTTCGCGTAGTCCTGTTCGGAGCAAGCCACATGGTGCAAGCGGTCACTATGAGGCAGGCGTCTACCCTGGCAAGTCGCCAGGCTTGGACCTAAAACTGGGTGAAGTCGAAACAGAGCTGGACAACGGGCTGGACCAAAAGAGACCAGCATTGGCAGCACCCTTTTTGTGGGCGCATCAGAGAAAGTGACCTGAAGCGGGGGGTGCAATGCTGCAACCTTGCCTTGCACTAGTTGAGAGAAAGCTGGAAGACCTGGTGCAACTTCGCTGAGTCAAGGCTCAGCATGAGCTAACGGGCCACGAGAGAGCGAAGAAAGGAGCGCAAGGCAGTGGTACCGCGTTTTGGGCTGCCAACGAGAGCAACACTAGCAGTAGCAGTGGAGTGTGCGCACTTATGGATGGCAAAATTATCTTCTTCTTTTTTTGTTGAATGAGGAACTGACCCCTATGAACCATCCCTTGTGGTTTCCTTTACGCGCTCCCTATGTTCATTCCAAAACCCTCAACATTCTGTGGCGAGAACCATCAAGTAAAGGGAGCCCTCCAAAGAGGAAACGCAGGCTCAGAGTGTGCAACCAGCCTCTCAGACCCAGTGTGACATTGCCAAATCCCGGCTGCCACACAGAACCAGCAGGATAAAACATGCCGGCACCACGGCAATGGGCTCTCCCCTTGCTTCGCACCTGGGCACATTTGCATGGGACCATGCGAGCATTTTGCTAGCGATTCACAAGATGTGGGCAAACTGACTCGGATGCCCGATCATTGCGCAGCAAACGGCAACCGTGTCTTCTTTGTTTTGCTGGCTTCAAAGCAGGGGGTCTGGGAAAAAAGGGGTCCCTCTTGGCTTCCTAGAAACATCAAACATCATGGATGATCGCTCTCTTCCTGAGTAATTAGGTTGGCCACACTAAAAGTAACCAAACTGTATACTTACCACTAAAATGGCAACCCAGGGAGATCAGCACCCAGAATCATGAACCCGCAATTTTCTTATCGCATGCGGCTCACTGCGACTCTCTGCCATCCCCATCTGGCTGGGCGGTGCGCCTCGGTCCTCTTCCTGCATGCCCGACCGTTCGAGTTCGAGGACAGAGCATGCTATTGAATCCAAAATGAGATGGGAAATTCAGTGAGCTTGGTTGTTGCGGGAAACTTAGTGAGTTTCCCCTGTCCCTCCCGAATGGACCGCAGACTGCTGGAAGTTTTGACCAAACCTCTTGGGTTGGTCTTTGGATGGTTCGTATGGAAACAGTCCTTTTGCATCAGATTCAACGCTTGAAGGTGGTACTAAAGAGCAACCATGCTATTCAACTGCTTCTCATTCTGTTCTCATCCTGCAAGTCTCAAGCGTGCCATGACTCTCTTGGATGCCATCCTACCCTCTATCCATGGGCAGTTGCTAATCAGTATCTTTCCAGGGACCCCCTTTTGGGCTGCTTGAAAGGGAAACTACAGGGACGCCACCCATTTGAAAGATTGACCCATGTCGCCACACCGAAAGTTCCTTGAAACGAGCAAAGGGCCCCCCAAAACCTCCTCTTGCTCCGTGCCTCAAACACGGGGACCTCCACTGCAACCAGGCGCACCTGGCCGAGACACGTAATTCGCCCCCTTGAACCATGAGCTAAGCAGGTTCTGTTTACATAACCTCCGCTTGGTCTCCCATTTCTATGGGCAAGGTTGGTTGCTCCAAGCACACAGCACCTGGATCTCACGAATCCGTCAAGCCAACTTGCATGCGCCCCTTTGTGGGGCTGTGCCTTCGCAAGTCAAGCATCAAACTTGAAGCGGAACAAACACTCCTACACTGCCTGGTTGTTTGTGGCTTCCTTCCGATGGGGAAAAGCCCTCTGTCGCTATCTCATCTTCGGTGGCAAGCAAATGGGACAATCAACGAAATCCTGGGACAAACAAAGGAAGCTGTAGTGAACAACAAACGCACATCGGTGTGTCTCTAAAATGAGGGAAGTCTTGAAAAATGATTAGCATCGGCTTCTAATCACTCCCAAAGGATGCCCTCAAACGACAACATGCCCACATGAGCAGTGCCCAACATTGATTGACTTTTGGCTCTATCAAGGCCAATAAGTCCCAATAAGTCCAGGGTCTATTTCTGATACCCCACCTGGTGGATTCCCCCTTGGAACGTGCTGAAAGCGTGCCAAACAGATTCAAAAACAAACAAACAACAGGGTGGAACTCCCATACTTGGGGCATCCAAAAAGGTGTCTGCAGCAACCTCTCCCTATATGTTTGCCTACACGAGGAAGCGCTGCCAGCAAAACATTTGAGGCGCGCTCCGAGGCTCCGAGGGTCCGAGGCTCGCTCCAAGGGCGCGGCCACGGCGCTGGGTCCTCTGTGGCTGCACACCTGAATCCCATGCGGTGACCTCTGGTTCAACACGTCGAAGGTTTTCTATGGGCTTTTAAGGGTGCAGAAGGCCATAAAATAATCTATGAGCTCCATGAAAGGATTTAAAATCAAGTCTTCCACAAAAGGATGTTCATGTTAAACTAGGTTGTAGAACCACTACACGGCCTAAAGGGCTTTAGGGTGCCGTTCACTTGATCTGGGCAGATTCCTATGCACACCCCTCCCTGATGTTTTCCTTAAAAACATAACCAAAACACACACATCGCCGAAAGGAAGGACGCTTCGAGGTTGCAACCCGTGTGGGGTCCACGCCTCCAAGCCCGAAACGGCTGACACGGGCAAGTGGAGTGGATGCTGGGTGCCTCAATTGGATCTGTCAACATGACTTGGAAATGTTCGGAGAAAATCAGAAAACCGACATGAATTCTGAGATCCAAATTAGCTTAAACGGGGTCCAGCCCCAAAACTGTGAGAAGACATTGGGTTGCAGGCCCAAGTTTGCCACACTTAAAGTGACTGCCCATCCCTTACTTGGCCCTTTGAAATCGATACAGTCAAGACGTACCTCAGATCCCCAAGACTAGATTCAGGCTTGCCAATACGAATTTCAGCTGCAATTGCTTGAGCTTAGGCTTTCCATGTAGATTACACCGGGACATCGAGCCAAGTTTCGAAGCTCAAGAACAAAAGGCGCGAAAAGCCAACAAGCCAAAAGCTTTCGAACCTTTCGCGCAAATTTCAGGATTCATCCCTGATTTTTTTTTTTTAAAAAACAACTCCGATTCCTTCGCAGGGCCAAATCCACGTCGCCTTTCGCCCGAGGCCGCGGCACCCGCGAGTCTCTCCCGGTGGAACCCCGTGGCCCCGTGGCCGGCCGGTGATTCTCCGGCTGGGGTTTTGGTTTTGCCCAGGTCCGGGCGTTTTCCGGGAAGGAACGCAAACCGCCGGGTGAAAAAACCAGGCGCGACTTCGTAGAGGTGTTTTTCTGACCCTGAGCCAGGCCCTAAATGCACTGCACTGTTAAGGCTATTCAGGCCTTGCAGCCGATTCAGGCCGGAATGCATCCAGATGAGCGCCCGGCCCAGCCCCGCGCAGAGACACCCTCCTGCGCGGCAGAGATGTTTTGTGTTTCTGCCAGGCTGGTTATCGCAAACTGGCCTGAGAGCTGCCAAAGTTCCCACTGCCTTGAAGTTTCTTTTCGGGAAATCTAAGCAAAACGGGGTTCTTACGCACCCAAGCACGGTTTGCCTTTGACCACATCACCCGCTTCAGAAAATAAAGGGATCCCCTCCAAGCGCAGAAACCCTCTTCAAACAATTCCACTTTTTGGCACAAAAGAGGTTGCGCGATTGATATCGACCTCAAGCATGGCCCGCTCAAATGCCCAAACATGGTCACGGCCAATGCACGAAACAGGTTGGGGAAAACCTCATAGTCTGTGTTGTCTGATGGTTCATTCATGGCTCCTTGTGCGTGAGATAGTATATTGAGAAATGGCCCACTTCATGTCGACCCTTTTGAAGAGAGAAAGTCACCAGGATCCCCAAAGGTTCCCAGTTTCGTCACGCCATGCCACGCCCAATGGAGCTGACAAAGGAAGACGCTTGCTGCATGTGTTGACTGTCCAAGGGCCACAAAGAAACACCTTTGCGCATTGCAAGCCCGAGTCCGTAGAATGTGTCCGGCTGGCGATCTGCCTTGAAGGATCTGATATCACTCCTTCTCCCTGATTCGGCCACATCAGTTGGAGAAGCCACTCTGCTTAAACAATTTTCTCAGAAGGATCCCTGGAAATAGTTGGGCCATGGGGATGTACAACTAGAACGGCTCCATCCATAAAAGTTCTCCTGCATCATCCTATCCCCAGCACGCCTTTCGTCTAAAGCACCGTGCTCTGTGGCTGCCAGGCCAACATCTGCTCTGGATGCAGACCCCCCCAATCAACTCCTGCTTGACCCACGCCTCTAGTGGATTTTCACGGGGAATAAGGGCGCCCTTTTTTCGGTAGTTGACTTAAGTCCAACTAGCACACAGCCGCGAACATCAGACACACACACACACGCATGACATTCTATCCTCTCCCTGAATCGAAACTAATGAATATGACTCATATGACCTTTCCATCATTTCCTAGCATGACTGGGTCTCAAGAAAAGAACCTTCATCATGGCACTTCAACTCGCTTTGCCCCAACGGATTCCCTCTGCCCTGTTGAAGTAGACCCCTCATCAACTTTCAAGTGAACACCCCGCCAGAAAAAGGAGCAAGGCGCGAGTCCGGTGGAACCTGGGGCAACTTGGTTGCTAGGTCTTGTGTCCGAGTAACGGTGCGCTACTCCATACCATCGCCTTGGAGGAAAAACAAAACGAGAACATGCCTCGTTACTCGTCTGTCTATCCTGCACCGCAGCCGAGCGCAGCCGCTGCCAGGAGGCATGGCGGCTGAACTGCATCAGCTCGCCTAAAACGTGAGCTGTGGATGCCCAAAGGCAAACCCCCTCAGATGCCCAGTGGCAATGGGAAAAAAGGCATCCTTTTTTGGCTTGAGTTTAAAGGGGAACCCTTCCCAAACAACACTGGGCAACTGGGCCCACTAAACGGGTCTGTGTGTTTGGAGGGTACCTCTTTCATCTTGGTAGGGGAAACCCAAAAAACAAACCATTTTTGGGATTCACTAAGTGGACAGAAAACCCACCTGGAACTTCTTGGCGTTCCTTTTGGCTTCCCTTTCACAGAGGTGACTGGTGTCCCCTTCAGAAATTTGGATACAGCCGATAGTTCCCGCTGGGGCTTCTACTTTTTGAGATCCAACCACGCGGAAATGACGGATTCTTATTGACATCATCGGACACTGGTCAAAGGAAGCTTAGAAGGAAGATACTTGAAATATATTAGACAGAGACTTGAAATATATTAGAAAGTGCAGATTTCGTGGCAGGGTCTTGTCTGAGTGCGCGAAGGATAGAGAATGCGCAAAAACGTGGCAGGGTGCAGGAAGTCGCTGCCGAAGATGTGCGAAAGGTACCTCTGCCGCGGCGCCTGTTCGGGACGGTCTCGGGACGGGCTTGGACGGGCGCCCAATAACAGCAACGCGGAGGTTTCTCAAGGTTAGAATTTCGTCGCAGGCGCAGCACTTTGGCGAGCCGAGGTATAGATTTCGTGGCAGGCGCAACACTTTCGCAAGGCCAAGTATAGATTTTGTGGCAGGCGCGGCATTTCCGCAGCGCTGGCACGGATGCATCGCAAATCCCATTGGCACGGGCGCGCAAGGTGGCGCAGCAGCACTTTCGCATTTCGTGGCAGGCGCGACACTTTCGCATGGTCGAGTAAGATTTCGTGGCAGGCGCAGCACTTTCGCAAGGTCAGGTACAGATTTCGTGGCAGGCGCAGCACTTTCGCAAGGCTGGATACAGATTTCGTTGGCAGGCGCGATACTTTCGCAAGGTCAAGTACAGATTTTGTGGCAGGCGCAATATTTCGTGATCGAAGGTGCGATTCCACTCTTCCAGCTGCAGCTCCAAAATCGTAAAATTAAGTACACAAGTAGTATTCGAAGTGCACTTCTCCAGCTGCAGGTCGAAAATCGGAAAAGTTAAGTACAAAAGTAGTATGCGAAGTACACTTTTCCAGCTGCAGGTTGAAAATCGGAAAAGTCAAGTACAAACGTAGTTTTCGAAGTAGACAAAGATCGATAGCTAGAGAGATAGATTGCTAGATAGATAGGTAGCTGGACAGATGGATAGCTAGCAAGATTATTGACGGATAGATAGATAGATAGATAGATAAATAGATAGATAGACAGCTAGATAGATAATTAGAGAAATAGCTAGATATATAGATAGATAGATAGATAGATAGCCATATAAACAGATAGAAAGAGACAGATAGATAGATAGCTGGCTAGATAGATAGCTAGATAGACAGATAGATAGATAGCTAGATAGACAGCTAGATTGCTAGATAGATAGATAGCTAGATAGACAGCCATATAGACAAATAGATAGATAGATCGTTGATAGATAGATACCAGTCAGATCACCGCGCACCCAAGCAGTGAGACCTCAGAAGCGAGCATCAGCTGCGAGAAGCTGTCTTCTTTCCGCACGGGTGCCGTTTCAGGCCGCGAGGCGGGGAGGTTCTGGGAAAGAATGTTTCGGCATGGCATGTTCAAGAAGCAAGGCATCCCCATTGAAACCAGCAACAGTGCAAATTCTATAAGTGTCGTTCGCTCTAGAAGCTTCCGCCCCCCGACTCTGCCGGCTCCACTCGTATTGAACACCATCCAAAAGGGTTTCTTCTGGTAATTAGACTTTGAACATGGCTGATTTCCTCGGTTCAGCATTCTACGCGGATTAGAGGCTCACTTTGGTGAATCCACCGGCTTTGTAAAAATCACGCTGCTTCCAGCGGGCCGTTACCAAATGAACAACTAACATGACATCGAACAAACAAGCTATCAACAAATAAAGGCATGCTTCCTCATAGTGAGGGGTATTGTTGGGCGAGAAAGCAAAACACTGCCCCTGAGAAAGAACTGGAGGCGTTCTCAGTTAACTTTCACGAGCCGACTAGCACGGAAAATCAACACGGCTGGCTCCCAAGAGACAATGCCCGCAACTATGATCTGCCCACTAGTGAGGCATACCCTCTCAAGTGGGGTGGACAATGATCACCAATGGGGTCCCCCATTGAATTTCACACCTATCTGGACAAATTACAAGAGTTCACCAAACACAAATAAGTTATCGCCAGACAAGGAGCCTCCATCATGGGTTTGAGTTTGCAATCCGAATCTCCCATTGCAAGTTCGCAAACTGACCAGTCCGTGAATCAGCTAAAGTGGGCCCATCGAAGTCCTCAAAATATCCCCTTCGAAAGGGTGGTTCAAAGGGGGTGCCTCGGCACCCGTTTTTTTTGAAGACGACGAGAACGGGTTCTGGGGCTTCGGCGTGTCTCCGCGGCTCCGTAGCGCTCCAGAAGGCAGCAGTTCCAAGTGCCCACCTCCTACCCCGCATCCCTCAAGGGTTAGCTGAAATCCCTGAAGCCAAACAAACCAATTGGTTTGCAATACATGAAAAGAGTAGTGTGGTGGTTGAAGGATACATCTGGAAACCACCTACTTCATGAGGGGATGGATCCTCTAAAGCAGCTGCTTACGCTGTGCAGGGTGTTGTTTGCGCGGGCCTTCCCATGACACAACTCTTGCTTAGCATGCCACGGCTTTTTGTAGAGATGCTCAGTTTCGCTGAAGGTAACCAATGTGACACCTCGTTGGGAGGTGCCTGGTGCGGACTGATTTGAATGTGGCCCCAAAAGATGTCGTTTGAGCAACATATTCGGAATGCTATTTGATAAACTCTCGTTTGTAGCGCGCATAGCCAATATGAATCCAGGTACCGACGCACGAATTGTCACGGAATACAATCCGGCTTTCTGACGCCGAGGCTGGCGTCTCTGAGTGAAAACTCAATCCTTATTATGTTTGTTTGAATTCCCTCATCACAAAAGCACTGTCATCCCAAGAAGCCCAATACAGGAAAACCAACCAATACAGGGGTGTTCGACAGCATGACTTTCCGGGCTTGTTTCCAAAAAGGGCACTCCCGCAAAAATATAGGATCCCTTGCCTTCCGTTCACATTCAGTACCAACCAAAAGGGGTCCCAATCACATGGAAACCGGGTATCACAGGCGGGGCCTCAGCAAAAAATGACACATGCCCTTCCTCACTTCTCGAAAAACCATCTAAACTCTTCTTCTTGCCACTGAAATGGTCCAAACCCAAAACATGAAAGAAGTTCCCTCAACTGGGGGACGTGAGCCTCCCTCAACTTCGAGTCTCGACTTGAGAATGAGTCGGCTCAACCCCTCGCGCCAGAAAGTTCCGCAGGTGCGAGAGCTTCTCCGGATGGTCGGCCACCTGCGCGACTTTTGAGGGGTTGAGGGGTCACGAGACGGGCTACTCAGAAGTGGGTTTCAGCCTCATTCAGGAATGACAGGGTAAAGTTTTATGGTCCCTGAAACATCACAAAAGGAAACTCACTTCAGAAAGTTGGTTCGAAAGGCGATGTTTCAAAGCACATGTGCCAAACACGAATTCAGGGAAGCTAAATTTCTGAGTTCTGTATTGCATAACCGACGAGTTGTGTTGGCTGCCCTGGCCTGTGTGAACCAGTCAATGCCTCTCTGAACTGACACAGAAGTCCGGATGCCGGCAGGATTTGCATGGCTGTCCTTGTTGGGTTCCCCTCCGGGCAGTTGAGCAATACCATCCCTGCAAAAACAGGGGTCCCTTACAAAAATGACTATGCCCAGACATACTCAGAACGCAAGCAAAACACAAGCAAACCACTTAGGATTTCGGGTGCTACTTGCATCCGTGGCCTTCACTGGATCCGGACTCGGGGATGCCTCTGAGCGCCTTGGAACGTGCGACAATCAGGTTTCAGGTTCCGTGCCCAGGCAAAAGAGGTTGACGGTCCTCTCAGGCTGTGAGGCCATTCCCATTGCGATGCGGCAAGCTTCTCCTGTGCTACAGCTGGTGGTGGAGTCTTGCACATGGCAACTCCGCAGAAAACGCGTGCCGCAATGCAACTAGTGGGTGCCTCAAGGGGCCGCGTGCCGTTGCTATGATGAAGCTAGGAGCATTGAAATGACCAACTAATGTGCGGCTGTGGCTTTTCTAGTGGGGATACCTGCAATGGTGCGAATGTCGACGGCTTGTCAGACATGGATTGAAATGTATTGCTGGAAAAGCACGCTTGGATACAGACTTTGCAACCAGCCCTCGAACCTTGTCAGCGAGTCCGTCTCCAACGCAGCACGCAGGACTTGCGCTCCACGACGCCTCCTAACTGACATGCACGTGTGTAAGCGGCAGCACCTACCTTTGCTTTGTGTGCCAGCGAATCAAGCCAAATTGCAATGACTCAGTTAAGGCCCACATTTCAAAAGAACTTCAACACCACTGTTTGTTTTTTGGTTGTTTGTTTCTTTTTGCATGCGTGCCAGTTCGTGCGTGCACGCATGCGAGCGAGAAAGCGAGCAAGCGTGCGCGACCACGCGCGTGCGTGTGGCAATTGTGTTGTGTTATGTGTGTGAGTGTGTTGTGTGTCTAAGTGTGTCTAAGGTGTTTGTGTGTGTGTGCTGTGTGTTCATGGTTCATGGTTCACAATGCATTTTGCAACGTGGAATCTATGTGTGTGTGTGTTGAACTTGGTTAAGCTTGGTATGACCCAGGTTCAACACCAAACCAGAATCCATACGTACAAAGGCAAGCCATGGTAGTGATGCTTCTCTCCAAAGCACCAATATTCGAAAGCTAGAGGGTTCTGCCGGGAGGGCTTTTCAATTTTGACATGGCTGAGGTGTTTTTTTGCATAGCCCTGGCATTAGCCTAGCCCTGGCACAGCCTGGCGTGCGCGAAAGGAGACACTAACGGACTCTGTGCCACCGAGCCAACCAACCAACCAACCAACCAACCGACCGACCGACCGACCGACCGACCGACCGACCGACCGACCGACCGACCGACCTACCGACCGACCAACCGACGCCAGCCAGCCAGCCAACCAACCAACCAGCCAACCAACCAACCAACCGACGCCAGCCAGCCAGCCAACCAACCAACCAGCCAACCAACCAACCAACCACCTGCCAGGGTTAGCCCTGTGCCAGGGCTAGGCAAACAAAAAACAGCCTTTCCATTTTGACATGTCTCAAAAAAAAGCAGGGTGAACAAAAGGCTGGCGGATTTACGTGTGGACAACTCCCCCCCACAAAATCCGCCGACCCTCTGCCTCTGGGAATCCATGGTGATTTTTTTTGCGCCTGGAGAACACACCCAAATCCACAGAAAAGTGACGGTCCAGGACTGGTCCTGGGACCGGTCCTGGGACTGGTCTGAGACCGTCCCAAACGGACGGGCTCCCAAGTGTGTGACTTTTCCGTCAGTGCCGCCCCAGAGCAATGAGGCCCAGTTTGGGGAGGACAGCAATTACCGACCCGCAGCCGGCGGCGGCAGCAGCGGGAGCCTGGTTAATCCGGCCTCGCCGTGCAATTTCGCCCAAAGGGGCGCACGCCGAGGCTTTGCCTTCCATCGTCAGCGCTTTGGAGCATCATTTGCCCGCGCGGCCATTGGAGCTCGAGTCGGTGAAAGGCTCAAAACACTATAAATATGCAGCAACTCGGCTGCATTGCCAGCATCACCGAGTCTTGCGGAAGCCCTTCTATTTCACGCATCGCCTGCATCCCTTGCATCGCCTGCAATTGGGGCCATTCTTCCCCAAGCCATTCCTGATGGCGCGGGCGCGTGCGCGTGCGTGTGCGTGCGTGCACGGGGGAGGGCAGGCGGGGCGGGTGGGCGCGTGTGTGTGTGTGTGCGCGCGCACTCTCCCAAGAATCCGTCCATCCATCCATCCATCCAGCCATCCAGCCATCCAGCCGTCCCTCCATCCACCAGGCCATCTATCCACCCACCATCGCGCATGGCTCGGTTTTTCCTAAGGGACTTTTGCTGGCACGCCAGGCCGGTGCGCGGAGCGTGACAATAAACATACGGCCAGCCCCTGAGGTTTGCCTGCGCCCCGAACCAACACCCCGACACAAAAACCCAAACCTAAACCCAAAAAAACGTAAATCTAAACCCTAAAAACCCTAAACCTCAACCCTAAAAACCAGAAACCTAAACCCTAAACACCCTAAACCTAAACCTTACAACCCTAAGCCTAACCCTACCCTAAAACCCTAAACCTAAACCCTAAAAACCTTAAACCTAAACCCTAAAAACCCTAAACCTAAACCCTAACACCCTAAACCGAAACCCTAAAAACCCCAAACCTGCTTGCAGAAACCTAAGCCCTAGAAACCTAAACCTAAACCCTAAAAACCCTAAACCTAAACCCTAAAAAACCCCAGACCTTCCTGCTACCCACGCCTCGTGGTACCACGGCCCCACGTTCTGAAGAGAACGCAGGTCACCACGTGTCAGGTATGGCTGCACGAGTTGTGCTACTTGAGTAGTAAAGGGTGCCATACTTGAACCACGTGCTGGACAAGGGTGGATTAGGGGGTGCCGGCAAACCACGGGGGCTGTGGGTAAACATAGGATGAGGGCTTTGATTCAGTGATCTTGCCGTGGGCTGTGCCGTGGGGCAACCCTTATGGCAGAAATCTCTGGCCCCCGACCTCTGGCTTCCACCTTGGCCGTCGAGACTCCGAGACGGTCAATCCATGGAAATTCCCTCTGCAAATGTCTGCCGGCCAGACGAGTGGATCTCTGCAAGTGATCACCTTTTGCTGGTGAGGGAAAATGAAGAAGCTCAAACATTGAAAATTATTAATCAAAGAATCAGCTCCAACCTCATCAATGTGCTAATTCATGGTGCTCATTGTCAGTTCAATCCCAACTGCGTCCCACGTCCCTCATGCCTCATGACCCCCAGACCAAGCTGCCCGAACTGCCCCGCAACATGGTGAACCAAAGGCAAACGTTTGTAGCACACTCAACATGTATAGATGCAGAGCACGCCAAAATGATCTTGGAACGTTATGTGTGCGTCAATCCACAATTTCTTCCTTTCTGGGTTGGGTAGGACAACTGTGGATACATTTTTTTTTAAAGCAGTTGCGCTTCCTGCTGGTAGGCATCACCAGGCAGGCGGATGGCTAAAAAAGAGCCCCTGGACTGAAGGCTCTATGGAGTGAAGGCTCTGAATATCGATGGTGAAAACTTCTCCAGTCTGGTGAACGGCCATTGATGTTTGAACTGCTGCGTGATAGTTACCTAAACTTTGCGCCTGAAGTAGCAAACCTTACATGTGTGTGTGTGTGTGGGGGTGTCAAAATGGTGGCTTTGTTGTTGACCCCTGTCGTCATGGTCCCTCGAATCCACTGATGTAAGCCAACATACCCACGTGCCGCGTCACGAAGCTTGATTTGAAGAGGCTAAAAAGTTCCTTTTGCTCATTTGAGGAGGGCATATGCTATCTTTCACCACTTGTTTCCGGCAGATTTAGGTTCAACAACGCAAACTTACGACATCCCTTAGAAAACCTCTGAAGAGGGTCCCTTTAGTGTGATGTAAAAGCGTGACAGCCTTCCACAAGCCGTGCCAACCACTTTAACTGTAGAAGGAACAATTAGACTAATAGGGTAGCGGGACTGGTCCTGTTCGACCAACCGACCTCATGAGGGGGGAGTACTGAGGGATACTGTCCAGCCCCTGAATGTGCATGTTGCTAAAATGTAAGGAATTGACGTCGTAACCAATTTTGTGAAACATGTCTGCGCTTGATGGAACCGTGTCAATTGGTCGCTCTGGACCTGACAAACAAATGTAGTTTATCCCAGTGAATTCTCAGGGAGTTTCGCCCGGTATGCTGAACCAGCTGCGCCCCCCAAAATCCCCGGTCGCGGCCTGCGGCTGTGTCGCGGCCGGTGGCGGGAACCTGGCCCAACGGGCCCAGAGCAACTTGGCAGGATTCAACCGCTGCCCCAGCTAAACGTGTATTGGCGGCAACCAATACACATCTAGTTCTTCAAAATGGTGGCAACCCATTTTTGGTCAACGCAAAACAAACTCCATTTGCAGATGACAACTCATTTTCGTAAAACCTGAAAAGAAGCTTCCAGAAGGCGAGCGTCATCAGGGCTTAGTCTTCCAAAGTGGAGCTTCCGTGGAATTGCCGGGAGGGTACCGGTTTCGCCCAGTGCCTCTGGGCGTAATGCACGGAGGACGAAGTCTCGGAGATTGGCTCCTGCAAAGTTTGACGGCAACTCAGCAGAGAACATGAGCTTCCCTCTGGTTCGTTCTTTGGAGCCCGGGAGTTTGGAGGTGTTCTGGCGTGGAATCACATTTACCCTCTACAAAAGACAGGGACAACTCCAAATCCAATCCACCCATCCAAACCTCCAAACAACTTGGTCCAGCACCAGGGTACTTTGCACGGCAAAGGGGTTGAGCAAATTTAACGGATCCCGAACCCAAACCAAAAGGGAAAAGGTGCCTCTGAACAGGCGTGGGCCACTCCTCCTTGGCCATCGGACAGCTTGTCGTCGAATTCCTGCCTAACTGGACGCACGGTGGATACGCAAACGCGACCTGGCAAATTTTCTGGCGAGTCAGAAACCAAACCTGGCATTGCAGGGGTTGACCCAAAAACTAAAGCATCAGAAGGGCAGCCGGAACTGTCCCGGTGGTAACCTTCACTTTCTCAGGCTTTGGTTGTGGCTCTTGCCTGGTGAAGGGGTAACTCGGTGTCCACCTTGCGGCCAAGCAATCAAGTGATAGTTTGCTTGCAAACGGATGAGCAAATGTCGATTGGGATATTGTGCACTGCAAACTGCAAGGGCGCAACATAGCAATTGCATCCATTGGAACCCATAGCGATCAAGATAGCATCTTTCCAACATTTTGGATGAGGACATGCGTAGCACCTAGGAGCATTCTGTGAAAGCTCGTGTAGGGTTCTACCCTCCAACTTGTGCCCAACGTTCCTAAGGGGCACCTTGCATCTGCTTCCCAACTGGCCGCCTTAATCTAGCGATCACGTGAGAATATGTGCAAAAGGCGACCTCAAACAGACAAAACCGACCTCCCTGCGAATTCTCGCGGGTCTCCCCGGAGGCTTTTTCTCACGGTTGAAACGGGGCAAAGCTCGGCGCCGCGCACTCGGGCAGCCAGGCGCACCAGCAGACCATTCGCCTGGACCTGGCTCAAGTCTTCAAAGTCCTGGAAAAGTGCTTGGATTTGTGAGGATTGTTGGTTTTGGGTTGGGATTGGGGGGGATTTGAAGGTCTGGGTGGGGAGCGGGGTGCTCATAAAAGGGGGTGCCTTGCGGGTGAACTTCGCCGAATGAGCACGTTTGGCCCAATGAAGATGTTGGAGGGGAATTGCCAACTTGCCAACATACTTGCGGGTGCGCATGTTTGTTCACCATGTTGTTGAGAGACATATGTTCCCCAATTTGGGACGCCCTTTTTGGACGGTTTTGCAGGAGCTTAAACCAAAAGGACACCAACAAGACCTTGAGAGGTTGATTCTCCTGGCTTCAAACCAGGGAGATCCCTCATCCTAATTTGTCGCTGGGACATCACCAGAAGGAACCCGCGAGTACCATCTGGCATACGCATCTTGCGGATCTTTGAACCCAGGTACAGTTTCCATAGTTCAGGGCCCCTCACAAGACCTTGCCCAATCCCAAAGGCTGAGCCAAACTCCGACAGGAGCTTGTGGCCCAGCAAGGGCCCAATAAGACTCTGTCATGTTTTCAGGGTATCCAAACCTAAAAGAAAATCAAAGCCCATTTTGGCATTTTGGGGATCCAAATCCTACAAAGACGAGCCACCCATAAATGAACAAGTTCCTGATGAGCCCATCGAGTCGTATCCGCTTGCCTTCGGCACCTTCGGACTTGGCACCTGCGCTGGCTGGGTAGAGGGCCCAGATTTTCAGAATGCGGCTGGGTACTTGGGTAAGGTCAAGATCGTATCTTTTTCGGATGTAAATACTTAGACATTCATAGTGTCTGTACAGTTTGCTCCCCAGATCAACATGGATCCAACAAAACCCTGTACATTTGGTAGGATAATCTCCTTTTGGGGCAACGGACCCCTTATTAATTTGAAGGGAATGGTGGTTGATTCCCATTCGTATTGTGGATGGACAACATCCTGCACCAGTTGGGATGGATAAGACGCAGGCGTAAATCGTATACCAACTGGTGCAGGATTTTATCCACCCGCAGTATGACTATGGCTCAAATTAGGAGATTTGCCAAGGCTATCACAAAGCTCTTGGCACCGGAAAACCCGATGGGGTGTGTTTTGTTGGGTGCAGGCGATTTTCTTCAAGGCCTTGGGCCCAGGCTGAAACTTCCGGGATCTGGTCCCCGTCCCTCTGGGGCCCAAGAAGCGAAAAAAGATGGAAAAAGGATCACCAAACAGAGCTTTCGACGGCACAGAACAACTGAGAGGCTCCAAGTTTTTGTACTGAACTGAACCCAGGTCCCAAACCAGCCACAAACACATATGGCCTTTCATTGAAGGCCCTCCTGCAACTGGTTCTCTCGGCACATGCTGGCTGGTACTAGAAACAAGTCCTTACATGGCCACCACCCTCTCGGCAAAAAAAAATCACAAACCGGGAATAAGGAATCCTCAAGTAAGGGACCTGAAATCGGTGAACTCGCTTGTGTCCCACTGAATCGGTGAGCTCGGCGAGGATCGCCGACTCGCTCCGCTCATTTGCTCGGACAAAAAAAGCAGTGCCCTGTCTCTCCATCACCCTGCCTGAACTCGGCGGGGCTCTTGTGGCTCTGCCTGCCCCGCTGGAACTCAACACTGAACATGGACGGGGAGCAAGAGGGGAGGTGACAAACCAAACCAAGCAGGTGTCTCAAACTCATGAATACGGACATCTCAACCACTAGCAACACCACTCATTCACCAAGCAAGGGCATGAGAGACCGATTTTATCAATTACTAATTTTATTCCCCACAGATCCGCAAAGCAACGGGCACTGCGACCAACTCTTCAAACACACTTCCAAGGCTGTGCTTCCTAAGGTCGTGCTGTCTGAGAACAAAGCTTGGTAAGGGCTGACACATGGACAAGCAACTAAGACTTCCCAATTAATTGAATTTCCACAAAATCAGATCCAGGCATGCATGAAACTACAAATGATCCCATGTTAAAACTACACTTAGGTATTGTTGATGAATCAACATTAGCGCACTTACTCGATTAGGAAACACAGAACATGCCACAGCATGAAATGAACATGTACAAGAAACATCACCATCCACCCTTTTCTGCCTGCGGCCGCGGTGCAGTGGTGGCCAAACCGCCTCGGAGCTGAAGCCGAAGCCGAAGCCAAGAATGATTATGGGGAAGGGGCATCCTTTTGGGCCACGAAGGGAACAGGGCATGATTTTACCACAAGCTCAGCGGTGATCTCAAAGGAAAACCCTCCAAAAAGGAAAAAGGGCACCACTGACCTTGGGGGATGGACTTCAAAAGGTTTTAGAGCTGCTGGGTCATGTTTTTTCTTCCATAAGGGAGCCATGACCAACCTCAAGACACCTTTTGGAAAAATCTACAGCAGCTTGATACCAATACTCCCTGAGGGGACACCTTGAGGTTTTCTTTGTCTCTGGTAAGCAGATACGGTAAGTAGCAATATGGGTTTCTTGAACTTCTTGGTTCCCGGTAGGGACTATGGGAATACCCGGCCAACCAACCCCTGTCCAATTGTGGCTGGAAGCGGGTTGTTTCCATTTTCGCTGAGAACAGGCTATGGTTGATGCCCGAACAAATGCAAGGGAGCCCGTGCTTTGTGGATTGTTTACTTGCAAATTTTGGGGAATCCACCCATGGAAGCCCGAAATGTTAACCAACCATGCTAAACCACAAAATCATGGCAAACCATGGTAATCTAGTTTTGGTTCTCCGTATTCCCTTTACTTGCAATACGACGGGGGCATCAGCCGTAGACATCCCAACGAACTTCAAGCGCACTTGAGCCCACTTGAGCGCCATACCGGCTGCGAAGCCGCCTGCAAGCGATCCCAGTGCCCACCAGTGATGCGTTGGGAACAGGGGAACCCTGCTTGGGATTCTTAGCGGAGAACCCACCGACCCAAAAGTAATTTAGTTTTCTCTGTTTTTGTTCTGGGCCCCGGTACAAATCGAGCCTGAAATAAACAACTGAGATGGATGGCTTGGTCATGTTTTGTTGTCTCTGCCCCCTTGTGCGTGTGCTTCGTATCACGATTCCGGCATATCTACATTTTGGCGATGCCAAAGTCCGACCAAAACGGTGCCCCAGGCCAAATTTCCCCTCTGGAAGGGAGCTGTTCATGAAACCAGACGCACTCTTTTGAACACCAAAAACGAGGATTATGAGACAACAACGCCCTCAGGTACTAGCTGCTAGCTCGTGCGATATCATATTGCCACCCTTGAACACACATGTGCGAAGCCAGCTGGCATTTTCTGCAGGATCCGTTGCTTTTGCAATCTGAATCTGTCAGTGATGGAAAGCCACAAGGAGAACGATTCGCAGTGTGAGAACATCTGTGGTGTTGAAGCCGCACTAGAAGCCGACTGCCTGGAAAGTGATCGTGTGTCGTCACTATGTGAGCACACACCCAACCATGACTTCCCAATCCACCATGACAGCTTCGGCAAGGCATACCAAGTTTCCCAGTGGTTCCCCATGACTACATGGGATGCTTAGATGGGGAACCCACTGAACCAAGGGACAACGCCCTTGCCGAACAACGGGGGCGTGACTCATGGTTGTAGGAAATGAGCCCTTGTTGGTGATACGAAAGTGAGATTGGCATTTCACTTTGTTGTTTGATGGTGATTCGCCTGCAACTGAACACCTAGCTTACAACAACCATGGCCCAACTCCTCACTGAAACCTCGATTTTTCCTGCTCAGCGTGCACAATGCACCTGCCTAGCGCACATTGCAGCTGCCACCTCGGAGTCTTCCAACGACGGGCTCAAGACGGAAGCGGAGGTTTGCCACCAGCCATGGAGCTGGACGTTTGCCTTTTCAAGATGGCAGTCCTCCAAACCCTGTCAGCTGGAAAAAGAGTCATTGAAGCTTTCAAAGGGGGACCTGAACCCAGAAGCATCAAGAGTCTGGACCTTCTCGCAGTAAATGAAGACCAATGATCTACACCCCTGTTGCATGATAAACAACTGGCACGGTTCAAGCGGATTGTTTTGTCACACTGTAATGGCTATCAACATCATTCTTGCATGGTTCATTATCCATGGGCCTGGGAAACAAGTCCTTTCGAACGTGGCGGTACCATGAAAGGGGGAATGGACAAGCGTAACCACTGTCTGAGCTGGCTTGAGTTGCTTCTGATTGAAATAATGCGGCCCTTTTCATTCTTTGCCCTGTACGCAAAATTTAGTTGCTGTTTTGGGCAGGTTACTCTTTTGCGGAGGCGACAAATTGCAGCATGCATGGGCCTTTTCACGACCTGCCGAGACGGGGACACAAAGATCGCCTGCATTTCCCAGATCGAATCGCCCAGAAAGGCGACCAATGGAAGCTGCCGGCCTACTGAGCCCAAACCCGAAGAATGGCAATTAGGGGGTGCTCAGTAGGGAATGAGGGAATGAACCCCATAAACCATCCCTGTGGTTTCCTTTAAGCGCTCCCCTGGGTTCCTTCCCACATTTCCTACTGAGCACCAGCAAGAAGAGTCTGTCTTCTAAACGTGAGCTTCAGTCGGATGCTGCTGAGGCTCTGGCTGTGGGTTGGCCCACCACATGTCTTTGTCGCCCCATCCAGGCGTCACGCGGGGGGTTGGAAGGGCATGGTGAAGATGTCAACTTGACTCAATCTGAATCTGTGCATCGGGGCTGTTGATTTGAAGCTGTTAAATGTCTGCTAGAATACAGAAACCTTTTCCTGAATAGCCTTTGGCGTGAAGCGTGGAAGGTATCGGCTCTGGGCTGTGAACATTTGGAGTATGCGTGGCATCTGAGTACTTGTTGCGCAAATATCTGGACCAACACGGCATTCTTCATGATTCATTGCCACTGACTTCGGTTGCCGGGCGAAGCTGGGTGGGCTGAGTTTGTCGGTTAGAGCACACACGATGGCCCGGCTTGTCTTGGGCACGGCTGCGATAATTCGAAATGATTTCAAGCTGTGGAACAACTGTGTGCGTTCGTCAACCACAACGTGGCGTAGACTTGCCAATTGACCTTCACATGGGGAACCTCTGACGTCTCTTCAAAGGCACCGAAAGGAAACCAGCCACCTGGATGCGCTCCTAACTTTGCACATCTAAGTGTCCATGGTATACCTTGACTTAGCCTCCTCCCATGTGCAGACTTTTGCTCAAAGTAGCTGCACTGCACTCAAGCCGGCGCCGCTGATGTGATCCAACAGCCTCCAGATAGCTTTGTGGGAAGGCGGCCGTGGCTTCATAACCGGAAGCTAAAGGCCAAGCATAGGAAAGCATGTAAGCATGGTGCACGTGGACGAGCATGACAGCGTGCGAACCATTTGGTGGCAACGCGTAGAGTAACACAAGCCAGCACGCGCTAGTGTCAACATACAATCAGGCACCAGCAAGCGAGCAAGCCAGCAGGCAAGCACGGAAGCAATCAAGTGAAACTCAAAAGAGCCAGAGCAGAGCAAGATTGGATTGAGACCAAAACAAGGCCAGCACAAAGCAAGCCAATGCAACTAAAACCATCAAAACCAGTATCAAATACAGATTTATCTCGGCCTGGGTTGTGTCGGGCAGTGCCTTTGAACCTCTTGGTACGGGTGTGATCATGGATGTGAGTCATAGATTGGAGCAAATCTGTTGATGGCACGACTTAAGCATCCTGGCCAGCCACAACCGATGTGAACAGATTTCTTTTGGCGGAGGGAATGCCACACAATGCCATTGTCGTAGCCGACAGGGCAAGGCCATAAACGACCAGAACGACCACACGTGTGCGGCTCAACGTTCGTGAGCTGAAGGCCCAAAGACACATAGGCGACCGCTAGCAAGGTCGCCATCTGTGTGTGTGTGTGAGTGTGTGTGTGTGTTAAGCCACCCTGTTTCGATGTGGACTTGTCTCATGCGGAACTCAACATTGGTGGGTGCGCTTCAGTTGCCGTGGCTACAAACACGCCGCAACAAAAGTCATGTGTCGTCTCCTCACCACGAAATGATTCAGAAGTGGCCAATAAACCCCTCCAAAGGCTTCCAATTCTTGGGACGCTTGATAAGACTGTTTGTACGACTTTTCCTGCAGACCCCACCGACCTTGTGGCAAAATTCGTGGGGGAAACTCGGGGCCCCCTTGACCCCCCCCACCCAGAAAGAGTGGATGGAAACCACGACCAACTGCCCGTGTCTCGCAATGGTCCTATAAAATGGTTGGCTTCCTTTTGCTGCCCCTTTAAATTCCAATCAACCTGATACTGACACTTGATATTGACACACAAAAGGAAACCAATGGTCTCCCAACCAAGGGGCCTTCAACGTAGACCGCCCTGCCGCCCTAAGCTCGTCCCGCCCCAGCCGCGGTCGCGCCTGGCGAGGCTTCGCAGCGAGCGGGCGCCCCAGCTGCAGCTCGCCGCCAGCTCCGCGCAGGGCACGTCCCAAGGTCCGCCGAGGGCCTGGCGTTTGCGTCAGCCACGCGGTCGCCAGGCGGTCGCCAACCGCCAGGCGGTTGTGAAGGGAAACCGAAACGGGCAGGGGGAAACCGGGTAGAAATGGGGGTCGTGAAGGGAAACCAACAGGGGTAGAAGGGCGGGGTGGATTTGCTCCAACTTTTTTTAGGTGCAAAGTCCTTTCATTGTGCTTTGGTTTCTGAGATGGGCTCAAGAACAAGCCGTGGGTCTCCCGTAAGCTGCTTTGATGCTCGTGATTCCGCGTCTAACAGCTCGGGACTGAACTCAAATGCAGCCGTCGCTTCAAACCGGCGACCCGCGCAGAAACAAACAGGGAACCAGCGGAAAGCTCAGACAGGAAGGATAGCTGAAAGTACAAACCAGAAACAGCACAAGGTGATAGGTCTTGTCATGACCTAACTTGACAGGCCAAAGTTGATGAACTATTTGGCCGTCAAATAGTTTGACATGTAAAGGACAGCCTTTCCCAACATGTTTGAAGTGCCAGTTTGCACCAGTTGGCATGGATAAAGCAATGAATACCGGCACCTAGGGCGCCCTGCGCCATCCCAGGTTTTCCTAAAGGAGGTTTGTCTGATAAGCTTGACATCAACCCAAAATGGGTTTCGGCTTCCCCTTCGATTCTCTGCTAAAAACCAGAGAGGCTCCGCAAAACGAAGCAATTATCTGGGTGTTTCGCTTTTTGAGGTCTACCACGTGGCTGAAGGGAAGACTTCACAAGGGCACCTTTCAGGTTTTCCTCTAGGAGCTTTGTCTGCAACCCAAAGAGGACACCGTTTTGGGCCCCAGTTTGGCCTTCGGTTTCCCTCGTCCGCTCGATTTCCTGCAGCGTCACCTGGCGCCAGCGAACTTGGCTTCGGCAACATTTCGCCGACGGCCGCCGCGAAGGGCGGCGCCACCCCCAGGCGCCTGCGACCCGGAGACCGAGCGCAACGAGAGATGCGAGCAGTTGGTACGAAGGAGTTGGGCGTGGGGAGTTCCACGTGGCGTGGAAGGGTTGGGTTGAAGAGAAAGAAGTTGAAAAGCCCCCCACTTCTTGGTGCTGTAAAAGTGAAGAACCTTCCAAAACAAGTTCATGACGTTTGTCAAGGAACAGGTAACAGGTAAGGTCATGTTCAAACAAACATGAGGTCTGGGCTTTGCTTGCGTTTTGGTTGGATTTGGAGTTGGGTTTGCGGTTGGTTTCGAGGGTGGTTTTAGGGAAGATTTTGGGTTGGCGGAGGGTAGAGGCTAGGTTCATGGCTGGCTTTGGTTTGGTTTGGGATGGGCTCGTGTAGGATTGGTTAAAGGGTATGGTTAGTGCTAGCTTCGGCTGAAGGTGCTTGCTGCTCTGGGCATTCAACAGTTGGCTTGGCTTGGGGTGGGCTTCGGGTGGTTTTGGGACAGATTTACACTGACTTTGAATTACGTGCTGCTCAGTTTTCGCACTCCTTTTTTAAACAATCTCTTTCGGTTCCCTCAGACCAGGGTGCAGGAGTTTCAACAACTCTTGACGCAAAAACCCTCTGTTACATTTCAAAGCACAGGTTCAAACAACCTGTTTTCGGTCCAGGAGTTTAACCCACCCGGACCTTCCCCTCAACGACCCGCCTGTTTGCCTCGCTGCGCAGCAAGCGGAGGCTCTACCGCCAGGGAAGGCCCCGCGCCGCGCGGGAGGAGCCGGTCGCGTCCGATCGGTGCGGCGGGGTCGGAGGCCTCGAGTCGCTCTTTGCCTTCAACGTCAGCTTCCAAAGAAAAAGGGAGGTTAAACTTCTGGATCTCTTTTCAACTTCACTACCTTCTTGTTCGCCATGGATCTGCGTGCGGGGGAATGCCGGCTACCTCCCCTTCCGGTGTGGGCTCTCGCACTTGCCCAGTGGCCATAGGCAAGGGGACAATCTGTTTTGCTGGTAGGCCTGAAAGGGCACAGCTCCTAAAACTCAAGAAAGGGGCCCCGCTGCTCCCTGAATCAAACACTGTCTTTTGCTGGTTGAAACGCAGAAAAGAAACCTAGCCAGGCTCCAAAAGCAGCGAAGGAAAGGGGCACACCACATCCCACCACTTAAGCCCAACCCCCAAACAAAACTTGCGTGGATTGGCCAAAAGTCGGGCAACTTGGGAAGTGAGTCACAATAAAAACCTGGCACCGAAGAAGTCTAGCCAACTTTCTGTATGCAATTGGAGGCGCGTATTTGTGCTTGGGACTGTCCATGACAGTGCCAAAAACACAAACACATGCCAAGAGCCGGGTATCAAACAACTTATTGGGGACCTTTTGGACATCTTAAAATCTGGGGATTTTGTCCACCCACCACTTTTCAGGACTTCGCCCAGGAAAAACGAAACCGCCAGGTTCAGTTTCACGCGGTCCCCGAGGTTCCGTTGCGGCTCAAAGAGCCGAAGCTGAGTGCCGTAGCGTGGGGCCCAAGGTGATGAGCAAAGCCAAGGCTTCGCGCCAGGCGGCGCAACCTCGGAGGGGTTGGTGGGCTCCGCCTCTATTTGGGTTGGACTTCCCTTCGATGTTGTGGGGTCCCCGATCTTTTCAGGGGGTTCCAGAAGTTCAGGAATTCCCAGGATCTTTTTCTATTTGGGTGGGCTCCCCGATCTTCAGCTCTATTTCGTTCCATCAAACAACGGGAATACCCCTCTCTTTAATGGTGGTTTCATGTTGGCTTCCCTTTACAACAAAGGACTTGGGTCACCTGTGATCTTCAGCCCACAATCCCAGCCTAAATCCGTCAGACCTCCAACCCTGTAAGCCCACTGGGCCTTTTTACTTTTGTTGGCTCCCTGGTGGCTTCTTTAAAACAACCGCATGGAAATGTTCAAAAAATGCCAACACACCATAAAGCCACCCTGCAAACCTGAACGCGCAAGTCCATCTTGAACCTAATCTAAGCTTACACCCGACCCCAACTGAGGGGGGGGGGTAATTTTACCCCAGTCAAAACTAGAGGAGCCACCATTGTTGGGCGTACTCTGGAAAGAAGCAAGAAACGCATACACCCCTTCGCGGTTCCAGGAAATTAACACTTGGGATCAAGAGGATTGCTTCCCTTCAAAACCATCCAAAACACCCTTCAAACAAGAACAAACAGTTGGTTTGTGGAGAAGTCCAGCAATTGTTTGCAGGCTGCTATGTGGTGACTCATGCCTTTGGAGCAAAACACCCGGCCAACCGTCTGCCAGC